CTAACTGATTTCATTCTCCCGAAACAAATCAACACATACACTATAAATAATATAAATAAATGTATAGTTCCAATATCCATACTCTTCACAAAGGAAAATATTACAGAGATTGTATATGAAGAAAACTGTATGTTCATCCCTTAAACCTAAGTATTTATTTTATATTTTACCCTTCATTTTATACCTTCGCCTTTTGCTTCATTAAGACTATTTGATATAGTCTTGTTTGAAGTGCCAGATTATTCAGTTGATGACTGAAAAAGTATAAATACAAACAAATAGTTAGGTCTTAATCAATAAATAGAAGTTTTATAAGGTTCAATTGTAGTTGAATTCAAGAATCCTGATCAAGGCTAGTATTTCATGTTTAAAAACGCTGTATTCATTCGACAAACCTTTTGACAATAACTTCCATTAGAACTTACTTTGACTTTGTCCTTATCTAAGCAATCTGCCAAGGTGGTATCGATCCACTCTTCCCATTCTGGGTCATATTTTTGGTAAATCAATTTATAATTTTTCGGGATTTGAAACAAACTCTTGAAATTTTCTTCCATTTCATTTTCATCATCTCTTATCACAAAGACTTTCGACTCCAATTACTTTAATAAGATCTAAAGACAACAAATTGGCTTAATTGTAACCCCCGCTCTAGTTCCCGAGGTACAGAGCGAAGCTGTGAATTTGAGTGCTTAATTTGAAAGCAATATAGGTGAAAATGGAGTGCCGGAAATCCCCGCTATGTCCCCGGGTAGTCCCCAGGGGGAAGGGTGCGGGTGATTTCAATTGACTGGTGCATTACTGTTTCATTAGTTTCGGAGGACGGATTAGAGCGCCGGATTGTGTTGCGCGGGAGGTCGAGGGTTCGGACCAATACTCATGATCTTATAGTAAAGTGAGGAGAAATTGCTACCTTTCTATAATCAAGAAACGGATAGATATTCTAGTCTTCTCGGATAAGGACGAATAAACCGTAGGCCCCGTCTCCTGCAGGGTTAGGGGTAGGAGACGTTAATTTCCCACGCACTAGATTACTGTGTCGTGGATGTGCTCCCCTGGGGTGGGATGGGTGGGAATTCGCCCTGAAAAGCCCCCATGGGGAGTGGTCAACTAATCTATGTATGTATGTACCTATGTATTGTTGGAAAGATGGTAGCATCTTTATTATCATATATATATATGATGGCAAGTCTTAATTAATGACAGAGAGCAAACAAATATTTCAGGAGTTGATTTTATTCTGGATTTTTTAATCAAAAATTCCACTGCCTTTTTGTCCTTCCTAACATTGTTATTGTTACTATGCCACTGATGAGTAATTTTCAATGTAGGCTAATTAGCAACTTGTAAATACTGAGCATGAGAAGCACCGTATTATTAATTAATATTATTAATTATTATTATTAATTATTATTATTAATTAGCAACTTGTAAATACTGAGCATGACAAGCAACGTATGAAGACAGGATGCATCATAATCCACCTGTATCTCAAATTGTAACACTACTCAGTTTCACTTGCCCATTTTGCTGTTGTTGTTTCTATCTCACTTTGAAATAAAGTGATCTTGTGTTAAGTTCAATTATTAATGTCAATGTGGCAATACTAAAATAACCACACATTCCACCTAACCTTTCTAATCCTAACACACTGTCCATTTTTATAAGCTATAGTCGGAATGCTCCTGGAATTAGGGGGGAGGAGAAGAATGTAATAACAAAATTGGGCTTCAAAACAGGGGAGATCAGCCAAGAAATAGGCTCTGGATGAGAAGTCACACGCAAATGATTGCTATAAAGGGTACTGTAACGGTATGAATAATGAAGCAAAGTATCCCATTACCCTAAAATTCCATTTTGACTTGCCGAAAATTTCAATTTTTCCCAGGAAGCCCATTAACCTCCCCCCCCTCCCCCCACCTCTGTAGTTTATGACTTGAATACAGTTAACTCGCACTATCAAAATCCTCATTCATTAAAATTACCAGTACCCCATTACAATATTATCAATAACATTCTTTTGTTTCCCCTTTGGTTCAGATGACCAGCAATAACAGTCACAATGAAACTTCTCCGTTACATGAAGGAGCTGGCTCTCAGAGCCCTTTGATTTTTATTTAGTACAGGACTTATTTGTCCTATCCTCGTGACCAGACGGAAAAACATCTTTTCCTAACCTCAGTACAGGTTTGGACCATAGTATGAGGAACGTTACTGAGGTGAAGCTGATTGTTTTTAATAGGGAAAATCTTTGTACAGTTTTTCCAGTATAAATGACAAAATTACGATGTTTACCAGAAGTCTAAACTCATCGTAAATGTCTCGAAAATGATCAATCTCCACTATCTACCAACAGTTTCACAGAACGTGTTTCAGTCATTTCCCGCAACTTTCGTTATATATCTGTTTTTTTTTTTGCCTGCAAGTCACACGAGTTTTTTGCGTAGAATTTTTTCACGCACCGGGCTTCTCCCTCCTTTCCACTAACTTAAAGTTTTGCACTAGGTGTAAATATCTTATTTGCTTATTTCAGCAAAAAGTCATTTATGATATGAACCTTTTTGCAGTGGCAGAATTCTTAAAAGAAAACCCCTAGCAGAATGGTATTCTCTCATACTTATGATTTCAAGTTTGACATTTTGAAACTTCGTTTCCAAAGTTCTCATCTCGGTTTTAAGCTCGTTCACTGTTTGTCTCGTAGCTTCGATTTCTTGGCTCTTTGACTCCAATGAAATCGATGTCATCGGTTTGGGCCTCTAATTCTTATAAATCCTTGTTCATTCTCGACAAAGTGTTGCCCCTTTATTCAATATTCTTTGACGAGAGATGAGATTTCCCCGATGTGGTTTTGTAGAGTCTGAAACGCAGCGCAGCCTTCCCCTTACGATACCAAACACAACTGAATTTGCCGCTATTCAGTAACATCCTCCCGTTTTCGTTGAACTTTGCTCATTTTAATATTAGCTTTGATTTTGTTTACTCAACAAAAATAGCAAGCTGTTTCCTTAAAAACTGGAAACCAAGGCTCAGTTCTAGTGGTTGTGGCTTGGTAACATGAATGTTAATGGGAAATCAGAGAAGAACAATAAATAAAATAAAGTACAACCCAGCTTATTGTGCACTCCGTTTACGACTACAAACACAACCGCAGCCTCAGAGCACCGTTCTGCCTGCCGTTTTACTAGCACGCCCGCATTTACTTTTTCTGCTCTGAAATATTGTTTCTAAAGATGTGTACATTGTACAGGTGGAAGAACAATAGGACACGTAAACCCCTACTAGGTTCATCCACGTAAACCCAACCCACCCATCTCACCCCGGGGAAGGACATCCATCACACAGTAATTTCGTGCGTGGGAAATTAACGTCTCCTACCCCCAACCCTGCAGGAGACGGGACCTCCATTTATTCGTCCCTATCCGAGAAGACTAGAATATCTAACCATTTCTTGATGTTATAGAAAGGAAGCATATTCTTCTCAATTATGTTAAGACCTTGAGTGTTGGTCCGGCCGGGGCTCGAACCCTCGACCTCCCGCACAACATTCCAGCGCTCTATCCATTGAGCTTACTGGGAAGCTGAATGTATAGTTTTGGAAGTTTAGATATCTCTAATTGATCCCAAGCTTTATGCTCGAAACAATATTTCGAAAGTATGATTGCTCAGATGTGCCGAAATTTTCTCCTCGAAACAAATATTTCCGAAGTATAATCATAAACCGCCGCGTTAAGAACTTTTTAGACCTTTGATAGAAGTCATATTTGAATAATAATGAGTCTTGGAAGCATAATCCCTCTTAGCAAGACCAACAGAATACTTTACATCTTTCGGCTGTTTTTGTTCTTGTCGTTGTTGTTGGTTTTTTCCGTGTTTTTTCTTGGTTTGTTTGTTCGTTTTTTGCAATGTGGTCTTTGATTACCGTAATGATTCGATTTAGCGCCCCCTCTCTAATAAATGCCCCCCTCCTTTAATTCGTTTTTGTTGATAAACAACCTTATTCTTATAAGCGCCCCTATACCAATAAGGGCCCCTATACCAATAAGCGCCCCTATACCAATAAGCGCCCCTATTACTATAAACGTCCCTACTCTGTTTCAGTAGTAGCACTGTTAAAGTACAGGTGTCATGAGATCAATCGTGGTCCATCTTCTTTTAATTGCTCACTTAAAGCGTTACGGCGAAAAAGTGGTCCTCGTCTCAACCTTCAACTATTACGTCAACGTGGGTGCACAACAACGAAACATCCCCTCAAAAAATTTTGCAATGATTGTTTGGTTTAAGCGTTCCAGCAAGGAAGGAGCCATTTTCGAGTTTTTGATCCTCACTCAAATTAACCATCAAAGGTTTTATTCACATTCTGCTTTTTTCTCAAAAAAGAAAGAAGCGCCTGGTTTCTAGTAAGCGCCCTACCATAAGGTACCAAAACTAAATAAGCGCCGCAGTATATCAAACCTTAGGCTGATTCCCTATCTTTTTTTTTCAGATTGAAAGGAACGCTTAAAATTTCAATCAAAGATCTTAAAATTCAAACATGCGTAGTGAAAGGGACAGTATTGGGGTCTCTTTAAAGGCTCCTCTATTGGCTTTCTCCTAAGACATAAGTTTGAAAATGGGAAAGACGAGTGAGGGACAGGGGCAAGAACTTCACAACCGCGCACAAACAAAGACTAAGTTGTGCGTAATCTCAAGGACATCGGCCGTTTGTTTGGCGGACATATTTCTAAAATCTGGTAAAGATGTTATCATTCCTCTTTTCCCACATCTCATGCGCCCGCTTTTGCTCTCCGCTGGGAGCCCGGCAGAGTTAAGAAAATCAAATTTACTGATCCATTCATTATTTCACTAAACGATTCGGGGTTAAGTCAAACATAATATGAATATTTTTCAACGACTCTTCGTAAATAGGCGAAAATTTTCCTCTAGAAACATCAAATCTTGAAACATTGTGAAAAAAACATTGGCAGGTTACAGCTGAAGCAAAATGAGTTATCATTCCACAGTCTGCGTCAGGATTTTATTTGACTTTTGTAACGTTGCAATTAACATGACTCTCCAGTCAAAGGAAGGTTTCGTGTCGCTGAATTGCCTGTTAGTGTTGAAAGAGCTTCCTAAAAATTTGTGTCATTAAATGACTCTATAGCTTAGGTCCCTCATCGCGATGATAGTGCTGATTCGGCAGAAATTTATTGAAAATTCAAACAGCGAAATCAGAAAACTTTACGTAAAACTGGTGCATCACCCATGGATCTGGAGGTTTCTGTCTTTGTTTCTGCAAACGAATATCTCTCTTTATCTCACAACTGGGCTTACATTTTAAATTAACGATTTACACACAGTTAAATCGCAATAAACATTACGAAGTTCAAAGAAATTCGTCTGAATGGTGTTCCAGCCTGGTGCCGAAATTTGGAAACTTCTTCAAATTGGATTTTATGGCATCAACCTCAGAACTCACATTTTTGACACTTTTTGGGAAACACAAACCAACATGTGTTCGCTTGTAATTTATGCTATAATTTTTCGGCGTTAGTACAGCATTACATCTTGGCTGGTTTTCGACATGATTTGAGGCATTATATTGAGCAGAGACTCAGTACCAGGCCGTTAGGGTCAGACGTCTCTTCTGTTGAGAGTTCGAGACTTCTTAATTTTTTTTTAGGTTTTTTTCCTTAATTTTCTTTTGTGATTTTTCTTCCTTTTCCCGTAGTCATCCGCAGTTAATCAGTGCCTTCCTTACATGTTTATTTTTTTTTTTCTAAACGAAGCATGGTGTTTCCATGGCGTGCTGGGGTGTGAGCCAATCATAGCCAAGGTCACCTCGTGATGCAAGCGTGGGCGAGTAAGAGAAGTTTCCGAGAATTGGGCTAGTGACTTCCTGTTCATTATTTCTAAGAAATATCATGTGTCACCTTGAAATTCTTCCTTCACACACTTCGAAGATAATGTAGATAATTGGCCTTTTCGGCATGAATTGAAAATAAATAACAGAGGGGAAAAAAACTGTGATGCCATATCGCAATTCAGAGCGGTTGATCATCCCTATGAGTATTAGCAATACTTTGTTTGTGAAAATGAAATGTTTTAAGTGATAGGACACGAAATGAGCTCGTTCGGACGATTTGCTGTCATAACATTCCTATTCCATTCGTATAAAAAGGGGGAAAGTTTACACGTAACAAGAGAGAGGCGAGACTTTGTTTTCAAACTCAGCTGAGTCGTAACCCTGGAATAAAAGATAGAAAGTGAGTTAACAGAAAGTCGAAGTCTTGAAAGAGTGTCCACCTTTGAATAAATTTCCTTCCCCCAATCCCAACACCTCACGGTTATGACCCTTTTTAACCGTTTATGTTCAAATCTCTAAACCATTTTAATTGTTAATACTGTAACATTACACTCTAATTGCTAACAAAGGCTTGACAGTGACAGGAGACTACTTACCTTCAAGTGCGATTGTTACAGCAGCTACAGGATTTACTCTTTTTTCCCTCTATGTACAAAATTTGATGGATATTTTCATGCGAACGCTTGTCGTCGGTCCTACCAACCTAAAATCACTGGTCATTAGTAGAAAAGGTTAATGGAGTGCAGGGGAACAACGCATCTTAGACAACCTGTAGGATTTATATGAATTATAAATGCACTTGTCGGTGAAGGTAATTTCTAGGAAACCTTGCCCACCAAATTAGCCTATCGTCGAGTGGGAATTTCTAGGAAAACGTCTACTTGTTTTCTTGCATGGTCTGTGGTGAAATACATAAGTTTCAAAGCCCTAAAAAGCCCTAAAACGCTCCCATAACGGGTCGCAGAGAAAAGCTTTAAGTCTCAAAATTCCTTTTACTTTGTTAACGGGAGATTACGATTATGAGGGAGGATTTAAACTCATTTGACTCCGAAACAAAAGGCAATCAAACAGAAACAACTGTTCGTGAATCAGTCGTTTGTATGATGCAAAACTCACTTAATTTGACGAAGTGATCTTGTAATCATCTTCAATTCAAATCAATTCAATTCAATTCATCTAGTTGAGATTCGTTAAGAAAACGAAGCAAGCTAAGTTAAGAAACACAAATTTGCGAGTTATCAAAGTCATTTTCCTCAAATAATTAGGGATTATGATGTCAAAGGGAATTTCTAAGATAACGTAAGCGGGTTGAAAACATTACCTACTCGCATTTTACTCGCCTGCTACATGTAGTATCGAAAGCAAATAAGCATAATTTTCTTAGTTGGCAAATATGCGTTTTGTTTTAAAAGATTTCCTCTTCGAATTCGCCTTTATAAATTTAACTCACCTATCGAATAGGGTCGCATAGTGTACACTGAATTCGCTAGCATCGTTAGCTAACGGTGCTAATTTACTTAAAGAAATGTGGGAAATTCTAGAAATACTTAAATGCCGAGGTTAATTCTCATTCTTGTTAACTGAAAATGCGCCAAGGTTGTTGAAATGTTCGGATAGAGTTCTGACGGTTAATTTCGTGGCAGCGCCAAGTCCAGCATCCTCTGAGAGATGAGAGCCATTAAATCCGGCAGTGTCTGGACGATAAAGAAATTCACTTATGCAATTCAGGAAATTTCTACCCCAAAATAGACAACTAGGTGTGATTTTTTCTTTCTGGTTCCTGAAGAAAGTGAATCACCACAGTTTGCTTCAACAACGGCCAATATTCTTATAGTCATAGAGAAAACGAGAACAAAATAATCCCTGCTTAACTTCAACGGGTGTCTCGAGCTCAGTAGAATTTATAGTACCCGTATTTAACACCAGAGGTTTGACTTATTAGAAAAAAAAAACCTGAAACGGTAAGGGATGAAGCTGCTCCAGGGGCTAAATTTTCTCCCACATACTTATTAAGACATCAAGGCATTCCCGTGTGAGCCGACCTCTCAGGTTACCTTTCGAATCCATGACTTCCACCGCTTCATGAAGTAATTTACCCGTTATTTTGGGATGCGCATCAGCATTCCTGTTTTCCTGCAGTAGTTTTATCGCTTCCTCGTACGTTTCGTTCCAATTCAGTTTCTTTTGTAACTCATTCCACCGCTGGTTTGCTTTTACTTGCTCTTCTTCAGTCGAAAACTTATTCAGGTCACGACGAATGGTCTTCACCTTGTATCCACCAATGGGGGTGTACATCTGTGGAAAGACGTACTTGTACATCTTAGCTTGCAGCTGACGGCTCAACTCACCCAGACGTAGAGAAGCTTGTAGATCAGGAGCGATTGGTGGCGGAGGAGTCAGCATCGGTAATCCGAGACCGGTTGGCAATAGCTTTTGACTAAGGTCTCTTACCTCTTTCTTCAAACTTTGGTTTTCATTTCTGGTCGACACCAGCTCTTGCTTCACACTTTCCACTTCCCCAGACACAATCGCCAAACTCTCTTTAAGATTTACATTTTCTTCCTCTTGGACCTGCTTCGCCTTATCCAAGTCCTCGACTTCCTTTTCCATGCGGTCGAGCTTTCCTTCGACGTTCCTCAACTTGTCTTCCAGGCCTTTTTTCTCAGCTTCCAGCTTGGCAATCCTTGTCTTGAGTTTCGCAACTTCTTCGTTTCGAGTTTTCAAAGCGATGTCCAATTTCTTGTTTTTATCTTCGAGGTCTTTAATTGCTTTGTGAAGATGCAATATCTCTTCATTCTTCTCTTCGATTTTTTCCTTCAAAGAATCGATCTCACCACCGTGCTGATTAATGATGAATTCGTTGATTCTTTCTCGCTCAAATTGTGAAGTCTCATGAACCAAACCAAAGATGGCCGTGGCAGTTCGACCACGATTTTCAATCTGTCGCAAATGATCGTCACTCATCGTTCGTCTTCTTCAAACGAAGAACGATGCTAACTTTAAAATGTTTGATGTACTGATGTCAGTCGGCGAGTGAAGTGTGTGTCTGTGTATCATATATGTACTGTCTACGCATGAGCAGTAAACCTTCCGAATTCCGAGAAATTGCTTCACAGGGGTTCTTTTTAAATTCGTTTAGCTTTTTTCCCTAACTGTTTGCTTCAGGACTTAGCAATAACACAAGAAATAACTGGTGGGGTTTTTCTAGTTAATATTCGTTAACACAGTAAAACGAAAATTAAACCTGGTTCCATCAGTCGATCTCCCGGAGGAAGTTTTGACAGTGCAATTCTTTGCAAGTGAGATGACGCAATTTGGAACTTTTGGTTTCACTGAATGATTAAGAATTTTTAAATAAATATTTCGGTCATTTTTGTAAAAGGGAACTCTCTACTTCAGTCTTATGTTCGAAAAGATTTTCTTAGATGTATCTCTCAAGAGAAAAAAGGGATAAGTTCTTTGTTTCAAAAGGAAACACCTGTTATTCCCATGGTGACGTCTTTCCCTTTATCAATTCTCTTGTTTTATTTTTGTGTTTCTTATTTTGATTTTTTTTTTCAACTGACCTCAAGTTTAACTTATTGCAGGGCTGCTTTCTTAAAAACTGCGTCAGCAACTTTAGCGGGTGGGAGGAATGAAGGGAGATCTGGGTACAAGTGACATTCCAAGTCTTCCACAATGCTACACGGGTGGCTGAAGTCGCGCATGATCACTTAAAGACCTTTCCAGGAAAACTAGCCAACGACCGTCTGTTTATGTTAGAAGTGTATTTCTCAGAAAAAGAGCGAATATAGTCACGGTTGTGGTGTTTATTCTAGCTCTGGTATCGGGATTATTTTCTGAACGAAAAGAAACTACGCGACTTTGTGGAATGAGTGATGCACTGTTTATATGTAAATGTCAATGACATCAGGTGACTCAACACAAAGACTAGTCGGTTCGTAAGGGAATGGAAGGGAACATAAAAGATGAGCACATCATATATTTGCCCGGCTTTATTTATGTTGCGTTGTCATATCTTTCACCTCCGTTTCTGTTTTCGGAAACAGGATCCGAAAGCGAACAATATAGGTCACATTCTTGTAAGGTATAGACATGTATGTCTATTATGCTTTAATTTTTTTATTTTATTTTTTTTCGCGGCAGCATTTAAAACGTAGTATTTCAAAGAATAAATGTGGAAATGTTTTATTTTCCCTTAGAGGTTTAGTTAAGTCTCAAATTGTAAATTTTAGCTTTGGACTGTTTATAAGGAGGAGAGTTTAGGGGTATTTGTACTGGATTTCTATAAGATCTCAGTAAATGTAGTCACTGGATTAGACAGGGCGCCGCTTGGTTAAAGGAAAAAAGCAAAGAAAATGCTAAAATGAATCCACTGCTTTGAACTCTTACATATATAATTGGACGAACTTTTTTACCAGAGTTAAGCCAAGCCGGGCGAAACTGTATGAAATGGCTTAGTCTAGTTCTTGCCTGGCTTTATGAGAATTTTCATACACTCATAGCTTTGGTGTATTTAATGGTGTAGCGACGTTCCTAGCTGCAATTTGAAATAGCTAGAGGAATGGCGGAAGTGTATAAAAAGCATTTTCGTTTTTTCAATATGGAGATAACAGGCTTGTGGCAAATACTAGAGGAAGGACAAACCTCGTATTTATGTATTTAGATTCCAAATCTCTGATGGTTGGTATTCACAGAGCACGTTACGTTTCCTTTGACTTAAAAATGCATTGGTCAACGGTTCTACTCCAGTGTAAGATTGTCAAACTAAGAGGTTTAGATGGGAGCTAAAATAGGTAGCAGAGCAGTAAATTAAAGATTCAAAACACTGGATCTCGCGAGGCGATGCCATGATCTGATGAGCAAAGATACCGCTCCAACTGCAACTCAATACCCAGATGAAATCGGCTCGTCCTCCTTGTATGTCTTCCGTACTAATCCAGTCATACTATAGCGAACAATGCATATGTTCAAAAGTAGAGCAAACATTTTTCAATTATAGTGAACATCATTGGAATTTGCATAACCTCCTCATTCGGTTTTTGTGTGTATACGAAAGATAAACTCGGCCCTGACGCGGTTAAATTTCTTTCTTTGGATTCCCTTGTGTTTCCCATGTTTTCTACCTTTGAGTGAAATAAGGGCAGTGGAAGCGCTTCAGTGGAAGCGCTTCATACCACAATCAAGTATCTTGCTATGGTAATTGTTGATACAGCAGACGGTGATCTTGACCTGTTGAGTTGCGTGAGGAGTTCAATTTCTCGGAAATCCACTTACTCTTAGTGTGAATTAATTCAGGTGAAAGCATCGTGTTCAATACTGAGCTCGCAGACAAGCTTCATTTTGATAGGTATATGAAACCAGGAAAGTAAAGCTTTCCTTAGTTTGGTAGCCTTAGAGGATTTTTGGTCATCTCTACCGACGTGCATTCTATGTTAGCGATCCAAGGGGACGAATGAATAAAGGCTAAAAGTTTCTAAAGAAACTGTGGTACTGCTTCGGTGGGGGTAACAAGGTAATTTGGTTACATCAACTAAGTTGAAATTGTAAATTGGCCACTGTAACGAATATAAAAGCTCACGTTTCGAGCGTTAGCCCTTCGTCATTCGATCTGACGAATGGGCTAACGCTCGAGAAATCAGGTTTTTTATTCGCGGTTACGGTGACCAATTAATTTACAAGACGGGACAAAGTCTGATAAAAGCTATTGATGTGGTTTCAGGTCAGTTTTGTATTTTGCTTCGGTCGATTCCCGTCTATGAATTAATTGGCCCCAAGGAAATTGTGACATTGAGTTCACACGGTTTTATTTCTTTCTTAATCCTGAAATAGAAGAAGACTTGAAAGTAAGAGAACGTTGAGATACCCCTAGAACAGTGTCTCTCTGTTGCCTAACGGAAGTCGAGTATAAATGTTGAAATCTTCACTATTACTAATAGAAAAATTATATATTACCTTTACTGACGAGGCTCAGCACTCAGAGAATACTGTAATTTCTTATACAATTTTCAATGTTCGCATCGCAGTTCTTTGCCTTTTTCCGCGCAGCCATACTACGAACATGCGACCTCAAGTTAGTAATGGACCAAACTTAATCTACAATCAGCCATTATGTCAGAGAACGAAGAAAACGAATTTTTTCTTGTAACCTCAATAAGGCAATGCTTTTATTCTCATATGAGTAATGTAATTCAAAGTTGAGACTTTACGGCATCAACCTGGCATCAAACTGCTGGTGTTAGACATGATTTGAGACAGTTTAATTAGAAGGGACCCAGTACCAGGTATTAGAGTCGGACGTCTCTTACATTGAGAGTTGCGGACTCCTTCATTCTTCTTTTTTTATGTCTTTTTTACCTTCAGTTTCTTTTCTAATTTTCCTTCATTTTCCCGTAGTCCTCCGCAGTTATTAAATGTCTTGCCTATGTGTTTATTTTTTTCTAAATGAAGCTTTGTGTTTCCATGGCGTCTTGAGGTATGAACCAATCATAGCCAAGGTCACCTCGTGATGCAGGCGTGGATAACCTATTGATATTTCTGAGAATATGGCGGGTGACTTCCTGTCCGTTATTTCTGAGAAATGTCATGCGTTACTTTATAATTATTCCATCACACACTTCGAAGATAAAACAGATAATTTTCCTTTTCGATATGAGTCGAAAATAAATTATGACAGAAAAAAAAACTGTGAGGAATAGTTTCTGGCGCTTTCACAATTCAGAGCGGTTGACATTATGAGAAATTGGTCAATACTATCACTATTCTGTGACAATGAAGTTGTTTTGAGTGAGAGGACACGGATCGACCTCGTTCTGACGATTTGATGTCATAACATTCCTATTCTATATTCCTATAAAAAAAGGATGTTTACATGTAACCCTAAGAAAGGATGTTTACATGTAACCCGAAAAAAAAAAAAGAGAGAGAGAAAGAGAGTTAACAAAATGTCGAGGTCTTGAACTGAGTGTCGACCTTTGGGTAGACAACTTTTAGTTAGACAACCTGCGTAATTCACATGAATTATAAATGCTGACGTTAATTTGTAGTAAACCTTGCTCACGAAATTAGCTTACCGCTGTGTGAGAATTTCTCGGAAAAGGCCTCTTTGTTTCATTAGAAAGGGGGGGGATATTTACACGTCAAAACAGAGAGGCGAGACTTTTTTTCAAATCAGCTGAGTTATAACCCTGAAACGAAAGGAAGAAAGTGAGTTGACAGAGTGCCGAGGTCTCGAAAGAGTGTTTACCTTTGATAAATTTCCTTCCCCCAACCCAACACCTTACGGCTTTCAACCTTATTAAACCGTTCATATTCAAATTTCTTTTCTATTTTCGTTGTTAGTACTTTATTATCTCACATAAATTGCAAGGAAAAGCTTAGCAGTGATAGGAGACCACTTACCTTCGAGCGCGATTGTTGCAGCAGCTACAGGACTAACCGTTGTTTCACTCTATGTATAACATTTGACGAACATTTTCATGACTGTGAGGACACTTGTTGTCCATCCTACCAACCTAAAATCACTCAAGTTCAAAGTAATGGAGTGCGGTTAGGGGAGCAGCTTTTGTTAGACAACCTGCGGGTTTCATATGAATATATATGCTGACGGTAACTCTAGGAAACCTTGTTCACCAAATTAACTTACCGCCATTTGTGTTCAAGGAAAGGTCTAAATGTTTTCTTGATGTGTGGGGAAATACATAAGTTTTAAAGTCCTTTGATATGCAGAGAAAATCTGCGACTTATCCCTGTTTAATCTTCTGGGGTAATGCTGTCACATTATATCGAACCATGCATTCGTTCAAATAAAAATAATAAACATTCGTCATCTATGCGGATCAGCAGTCGAATTTGCATTTATAATTGTAACGCGGTCATTTTTCCCTCGAATTCTCACGAGTTTTTCCCATATTTTCTACCTTTGAGTAAAATATGCCTTTTTTCTTTGACAGTGAAGTGCTTGATCCTATAATCAAGTATCTTGCAAAGGCAATCAGTTCTTGATACTTTTGCAACATGGCGAGAAAAAAAAAAACAGACAGTGGCCCATTGCGTTATGCAACAAGAGTTCAATTTCTCGGAAATCCACTATCCCTTCGTTGGAATGAACTTCGATGAAAGGTTAATTTTCGTAACTGAAGGCTCAAATAAGCCTCGTCTTGGGAAGTGCACAGAACCAGTGAAGAAAAGTGCTCATTATTTTCATAGTCTCTCAAAATGTTTGGTCTTCTTTACCGATGTGAGTTCTATGTGCTCCATTCGAGAGAACGAAGGTCGATAAAAGCTATAAATATGGTTTCAGGTCAGTTTTTGTCTTTTGCCTCAGTGAATTACCGTGTACAGTGCATTAATCGGCCTCATGGAAATTATGATTTTGGGCTGACATGGTTTTTCCTTTGTCAATCCTAAAATAGAAGAAAACTTCCAAGAAAATGAAAGTTATAATACCCCCAGAACAGAATTCTGTCGGTCTAGATCTGCTGGCTAAAGGAAGTCTAACATGAGCGACTGAATCTGTACTAAATATTATCAACAGAAGAAGTAGAATCGTCCACTTTAATTTACAGACAAGGCTTACCATTAGGTAAATACAGTGATATTTTTATATAGTTTTTGATGTTCGCATCGAAATTCGTCACCTTTTATTCGCGCTTCATACAGCGAACATGTGACCTAAGTTCCGATGCAAGCCAAAGTCGGAACTATAACCAGTCATCATGTCGTGAGCGAAGTAAACTGGTTTTGCATTTTAACCCCAATAAGGCAATTGTTTTATTCTCTGGTGAGCATTTCGATTTAATTTTTTTCCTGTTTTAATCCTTAAACAAAAGCAATGCTTGCGACCCTTCGCGCATGCTAAAGTTACGCTTTACATCTGTTGATCAATTTTCATCGATCAACAGATGAATCGAGAGAATCGAGATCGTTTTTCTTACTCTCGACTGAAAGATAGAAAATTGACAATCGTGTTCAAAGAAATGAAATATCGTGACGTTGCAAATGTTCGTCTCTAAATTTAAGCATATAACACACAGTTTCCTTTAGCTGTAGCTCAGTCCTGTAGACAATTCAATGGACAATAACTAAGAATAAAGTCACATGTTTCTATCATGGTAATCCAGCAAGACCAGATTATGATAAAGCATTGTAAAATGACTCACTCCAATGTCTGAACGTGTTTCCACATAGATATCAACTCATTCACTCGTGTCAAAGACAGCCAACCTTTCAAGTTACCTTTCGAATCCATGAGTTTTGCGGCCTGTGAGAGACCTTCCTCCGTTAAAGGGGCTGGATGTGCATTCATATTTCGGCTTTCTTGGAGTGATTTTATGGCATCTTCGTAACATTCATCCCATTTCAACTTTTGTTTCACTTCTTCCCACTTTTTCCTTGATCGCTCCTTTTCCTCCTTCAGCTGAGGCAGTTTATCCAAATCGCGCCAAATATTCTTCATCTTGTAGTTTCTGTTTGACTGGAACGAGTTTGGGAATATGATCTTGTACAGCTTGTTCTGGAATTGTCGACACAGCTCTCCCAATGTCAGCGAGGCATGTAGTTCCAAATCGGCTCTCTGAAAGTGCCTTGGTAGTGGAGGAGTAAGCATTTGACGTCCTCCTGCCCTTTGGGTTACTACTGATGGCGGCGGCACCTCCTTGTGTTGTGATTCTCGAATCTCCTTTATCTCTTTCTTCAATACTTGGTTTCTACTCTCCATCCTGCCTGCGGCCTTGTCGAAATTTTCCTGTAATTCCATGTTTTTCTCTTCCTGGGCCATTTTTGCTTCGTTCAGTTCCTTGACATCCTTCTCCATTCGACCAACTTTGACTGTGAGAGACTTGAGCTCGTCTTCTAGTTCTTTCTTGTCGCTCTCGAGTCTCCCTATCCTCGCTTTGAGGACTTTTATCTCTTCGTTTCTAGACTTGAGTTCTACAGTTAACTCTTGATTCTGCTCTTGCAAATTTTCAACGGCCTTGTTTAATTCTTCGATTTCTTTGTCCTTTTCATCGACCTGCTTTTTGAGAGATTCGATGTCTTCGCCATGACCAACTACGACCTCGCTTATTCTTACTCTCTCTTGATGATGTACTTCTCCCCTCACGGTGATTCCTATGGGAAATCCGATCGACATTGGATCAAAATCTTCACCAGTAAGTTGTCGAAGTTGGTCGTCGGTAATCATGCCTGCGAGCAGGACGTAATGTTTCAACGGTGTACCTTGTCGAAAGGTTTCCTAAAATCTACTTATTACTGTTTGGTTGGGTGAAACTTGCGTGCATCATCGTAACGTCAAGCAGGAACTCACTCGCCATATGACGTGGCGTTTTCTTCAACCAATCAAAGTCTTGCAGCAATAACGAATGGCTGATTAGTTTACACTAACAATGCAAATAACTAAGGCTGAGAATTCTCTTCTCGTTGACTTGTACATAAGTATAAGTTTTCTAAAACGCTCCGTTTTTTATCTCTGTCTTCATTGACCAAGAGTAGATTTACATTTACGCGTTACTTGAAATATTTTACGTATGATGCACGATATATTTGAAATATTTTATCAGATATTCTTTGTGAGATTTATGATTGTGCCAAAAGCGGCAAACGGAAGTTTATAGCCAATTTCTGAGAAACAGATATCTGATGATCCTAGCAATTTCTTGTACATGAGTACAAGTTCTCTAAAACGCTCTTTTTTTTTAACCCTGTCTCCATTGACCAAGATGTAGATATAAATTTACGCGTTACTTAGAGTATTTTATCAGATATTCTTTGTTAGATCTATGATTACGCCAAAATGGCAAAAGGAAGTTCATGGCCAATTTCTGAGAAAAAGATATCTGATGATCCTTGCAATTTCTTAGAATTTCGTTGCGTAACAGTCTCATCTCCATAAGCGTTTACAGCAAATATGCCTGGCTATGATGGCATTTTGAAACAACCCCAAATTTTTAGAAAACAGGCTTCGAATGTACTTTTAATAAAGCAGCGATGAGGCGCGTATATTTAAGAGAATAATTTTCGAAGCTATGCCGGGCACTTTAGAGCTGCTTAGCTTGAATATAATAGGGTAACATTGAGAAAACATTGAGAAAGATCTAGAGCTGGTCATTTGAACAAAAAGTTAACTCATACTGATGGTACAACGTTTATTTAAAACGCTAAGGCCTTTATCCTTTGATTTTATTTCAGGTTATTTTTTATCATTCAGGAGCTTAACCGTAGATATCGAAACCCCTATATCAAATTAAAGCTTATAGGACTGACTATCAGACTATGCCAAAAAGTTTGAAATTTATCACGACTTCTAAATGCGAGCGCCCGAATCACCTTTTGAACGTTACATGTCAAAGCGAATTTTGTTTTTCGCTTATTTAATGTCCCTCCGTTTCCGGGGCCAAAGCCTAAATAAACGTGTCTGCGATTTGCCATATTCAATTTCAGTGAAAAGTAACAGAACATTTTTGAATTAGGATTAAAAAAATGTGGAGTGATCGTACAAAAATCGCCCTTGAAAAAAAAGTATTTAGAAACAAAAAATTCGGAGACATGTTCTTGTTGTTTATATGTAAAACTAGCTACTGTCAAAATTGGAAAGCAATCGAACAAATTCCCTTTGACTTGTATTTCTTAAAAAGTGATTCGGGCTCGCATTTAGAAGTCGTGAAAAATTCGACAATTCATTTCTTTCCAAAATTTTTGGCATGGTCTGATAGCCAGTCCTATAAGCTTTAATTTGATATAGGGGTTTAGATATCTACAGTTTAAACCGGACGTGCTACATCGCTTGCACGCGAGACACCCTTGAAGGTGTACGGTAACCTTAAGTCTCGCTAACAAGTCTGGGTCTATTGGGTTGGCAATTTTTCCAACCGCGTATTGTAGATAATTAACCTACAAAGACATAGATCTTTCCTTTACAACCAACCCGTAACTGATCTATTCCAACCAGCAGGATTACATTTGCTCGCCTATTCTTCGAAGGAAAGCTCGTCTAGGTTTTCTCTCCAGAACATTACAGCTTTATACTGGAACTATATAGAACTTATACTAAAACTAGCCAGAAAATGGTCGCATTTTTTTTTTTATAAACGTTTGAGTGTTACCCTATTATTTTTTTATTTTTGATTTTGCTTTTCTATTTTTTTCCTTTGACACGAGATAGAAATATAAAATATTAGTTTCGCCAACAAAATAGTTTCCAACAGTCTGAAGGATCAATACAAGTTGGCAATTTCACAAACCAGGCATTGCTGATGACGTACAGACAAACTTCTTTCGGTTGCTCTCCTATTTCTTACAAGGCGAAGCTCGCTGAGTTTGCTCTTCAGAAAATAACAGTTCTGTCAGGGATAAGACCTAAGTCAGGGTAATTTGTTTATTGACTGGGGTTTCAAACCTTGTGCCTCGTGCCTTTTTTTTCTTTCAGATTAAAGGGGGTAATAGATTTTCGTCAGTGAAACGTCTTCAAATTAGAACTTACACCTTGAAAGTAATACTATTGCACTAACTATGGGAACAATGGAAACAATTTACTAGGTTTTTTGTTTGCTTCTTTCTTTTGGTATGCCTTAATTTCTATTGGAGTTTGAATTATACTGTGACTCCGAAACACGGTTTTAAAGATAATTTAAGCACAGAGTATCATTTATAATGCAATATTCCAAAAATGTAAGATGGCCAAAGTGAAACTTTTGCTTTCACTTGACGATTTAGTTTGTAAAATATACAGCTTTTATTTTTTTCCTAAATAGCCTTCAATCGCGCTGTTGTGTTCATATATATCTTATTAGACGTTTTGTTGTGTAGTATCGCTGAGTGTTTTTACGAGTTCTGCCGTATTTTGACGAGCCCGTAAGGCGAGTCAAAATATAAACAATGAGTAAAAATACTCAGCGATACTACCGAACAGAACTTGTAATAAAAGCATTCAACACGCCAAATTGTTATTTCAATGCGGGCAACTTTCGCAGATATTTCTGGAGTACAAATATCGTCTGACATTTGTACTCGTCTCGCGCGTCATTTGTACTCTACGAAGCACAGGTGGATAACAAGAGAAGCTACTTCTCGATGTATTCTCACAAAAAAGAAGTACTGGTAACTGATCCTTGATCAATTAAAGCCATCAGAAAACCTTTCACCCAAAATGTGGCGAGTCCCCCTAAAATTTGAATTCATACACTGCTTCGTAGATTGAAGATAGATCTAACACTGTAATAACAATATTCATGTGAGTACTCAGATCTTTATTTGCGTACATCTAAACAGTAGTGTGTTTCAAAATTAAGACTTTTCATTGGATTGGCGACTCAAAGTTCGTCAAAAGTTTTGCCCATAAAGTTTTCGAAGTTCATCGGCCATGATCATGGCTACGGCCAGTACGTACTCAATGGTGTACCTTGTCGAAATGTTTCGCTAAAATCTACTTGTCACTCTTTTCTCGGTGAAAGTTGTAAGCAGCAGCGTGACGGTAGGGACTCACTTAAAATATGATACGGCGTTTTCTTCGATCAATCTACAAAATGCAGCAGCAACACGGGGTTGATAAGTTTATATTAACAATGCCAATAACTGAGGCTGAATATTCTTTCCTTTTTGACTTGTACATAAGCTTTAGTTTACTTAAACCTCCAATTTTCTATTTTTGACTTAAAATATATTTTTGTATTTACGCCTTACTACAAATTTTTTTAATCAGATATTCTTTGTTGGATTTACGAGTACGCCAAACGGGAAACGGAAGTTCATAACCAATTTCTAAGAAACATATACTATGGTGACGTCCTTGGAAATTTTCCTAGAATTTCTTGGTGCAAAAGCCTGAACTTAGTTATAAGAGATAAATGTCTAGGTACTGATACTTTGGAGCTGCTACTATTTAATAGAACTGACGTTGCTGTAGCTAAACATCGGTCTTTTAAAAAAAAAGCTAAATAATACTAATAGTATACCATTTGTTGAACATGCTTAGCCTTTCGATTCTGACTCTAGTTCAAATTGTTTTTAATAGTTTAGGAGCTAATTTTCCGGTGATATGAAACGAAAAAAGATAGTAAACCCCCGTAAAAAATCAGCTTCTAGCGAGACACAGACACAAACATCATTCCTTTACAACTGACAAGATTTTGTTTGTTCGCCTATTTCTTCAAAGATAAAGCTCGCCAAAGTTACTCTCCAGAAGATTACAGTTCTATCAAAGACAAATACAAGAGTATATACTGAACCTAGAAAATCGTGAATCGGCAGTTCGAGCCAAACCCATGAATTTTAAACATTTCTATCATTACAATGATACCAACATATATTGTAAGGTTATGTTTAAAATTGCTTGCCTTAGTTCCATAGTTTTACTTCATTTGAATCAGTTGCTTCCACATTTCTGTCAACTCATTGACACATGGTAATGAATGCCAGTCTTCCAGCTTTCCTGCTTGATCCATCAACCTCACTGAGGTATCCACAAGGAATTCATCAATCATGGGATGAGCCGTCACATTTCGGCCATCTTGGATGGACTTCATTGCTCTTATGTGTCGCCTTTTACATTTGAGCTTTTTTTTTTCATTCACTCCATTTCTTCTTCGCTTCCTCTCTTTGCTGTTCGTCTTCAAGATCATCGATATCTTGGTCAATATGTTTCATCTTGTAACTCTTTTTAGAGTCATAAGAATTGGGAAACACATTTTGGTACATCATTCCTTGAATTTGCCAGCATAATTCACCTAGGACCAAAGACGCACTAGTTAATGGGTTAGCCGAAGTCGAAGGGATGAATGGTAACGCCATTCGCTCAGCAACCAGAGCATTCTCTGCCATTTCCAGACTCTCTCGCAAATCGTCGACTTCCTTCTTTAGAGACCTATTTTCAGTTATGCTTTCTTCAAGATCTTCAGTAATACCATCCACCTTTCTTGATAGTTTCTCGACAGTTAACTTCAGCGTTGTATTTTTCTCTTCAAGAGTCGAGTTTTCCCTTATACTTTCGTGGAGATCTTTTGTGACTTCGTCCATTCTTGACGATAATTTGGCAACATCCGTCTTCAGTGTTGCATTTTTATCTTTCATCTCGGCGACCCCGCTTCTCACGGCATCCAGTTCAACCTGCACAGCTTTTAAATTTGTTTCCAATGTCTTCTTCTCGCTTTCCAATTTCTGAATCTTCTCCTTCAGAGTTTTGATTTTTTTTTCCTTCGACCCCACAGTAATCTGTAGGTTATCGTTTTGCGCTCTTAGATCTCGCACATCTTTGTTTAGTTTCAGTATTTCTTCATTCTTTTTGTCGATCTCTTTCTTGAGAGAGTCCATCTGCTTTAAAATTTCGGGATCGCGAGTCGGCCTTCCCTCAACAATGTTTAAATGCAAAGCAGATTTTTTTTACTATTTCTCTTCTTCCCTCCATTCTTCCCGACTGAACTTCGACAACTTCGTTTGGAAATATAGCAGTGACGGTGGTGATGTTACCGTGCTTTTCCGAGAAAATAAAATTGCGAGCGACAAACAGTGAGACTCTTAATCATTATGACGCCACCATTTCCATATATGGTATAGGTGTAATTACGTTCAGGTTTCGCTTGTCTAAGCAACAGCAACTGCGCAATTACCTACATGATATATCACTTGAGGAAAGCAGTTTACGTCTTGCTGTGTCTGAAACTAAATTGACGGAGATATGAACTTTGATTGTGCTTTGTCCAACCACCAGAGATGTATGTCTCTACCATAAATGTACGCCATGCGAGTACGAAACGGATGGGTATAAAGGAAATTTCCAAGAAATCGATGACCCATTGTTTAAATTTGCGATAAAGTTCAAACAAAAGCATTGTCTTATTTCGGTAAATCAGCATGCGTAACCATGAGTACAAGCAAGAGGTTCAATATCTTTAGTCATCGTTTTCATCTTTGCAAAAGCAAAGAAAAACAGGAAAAAAATATGAATTTTTGCGGAAGTATTCTTGAAGAGTACAAGGGTCACAATGATCAGATAGGTTTCTGAAAATAGAACTTGCTTTATTAAGCCCTTTGCTTCGCAGAGCGTCATCATGATATACCATTGTCGAACAATTCGCAACCGTTCCTGGTGTTTATTGTTTTATGCAACAGGTACTACTAGCAATTATGTTCCAGCGTTTCATCTAGATTTCTGGGAAACGATTGTACCAAATTCCTATATCTCGGAAGAGAGAAACACGATTTCGTTGTTATGCTGTATTAGCATAATTACTCAGGTGATTATAGAAATTCTCGCGCTGTTATTGGCCGATAATGGCGTCATATTCCGCTATAATCACCTCCAGCGAGGTGATTACAGCGGAAGGACAAATTTTCCAAATGGCCCCCTCGCGCTTTGTCAATGTGTCTGAAGAAGAAATTAATTTAATGAAAGGAAATGCCATTCCGAGGAATACCTAACACACCACAAAGTTTGGAATGCTACTCTTCAAAGGCAAGGTGTGAAAATTGTGCTAAAGGTAACAAAGAAACCATTTAAATTCCTGTGAAAATTTTGCTTATGTCGACATGCATGAATAAATTAAAACAACTACATTAAATTTTCGCATCATTTTATTTACTTAACAGAATGGTTTCAACAACAAACCGAATTTACCACTGACTTTGAGGCAATGGAAGTCAACGAGATGAATAAATGTTTGTCAAAATTTTACGTCCAGTCAGGAGGAAAGGCGGGACTTTTTACCAGAGAAATAGTCTGTTGTCCCAGAGTTAAAAGAGGGACAACAGACTATTTCCTCTATTAACTCTGATCTATATAAACTGCGAACACTCCAAGCCTCGTCATGCACTAAGACCTGGACAAACTGGAAAGCCGTACAAGACAACTGATTTCGTTTTCATATTTTATCAGACTAAAGTAAGCAAGAAACGGACATCTTTCTTAGCCTATTGAAAGATCTACTCTGCATGTTATTATAGGGAAGACGCAATGAGGGAAAAGTGGCTTACGCAAAAGGTATGGCTATTCTGAAATTCCTTATACTTCGTTAAATTTTGGGGTTATGACATCATTACGGTTTCTTTTAAAAGGTCAGTACTGAGGGTGACCACTCACCAGCACATTATTAACACGAATTCCAGACTGAGGTGGGAAAAAAGAAACCCATGTTGTCATATAGGAACGACGCAGTTGTTTCACTGTGATAACGTAGCCTCTATTTAAAGATTTGTTAAGCACATTCTGAATCCACGACTGTCAAAAAATTCCTTGTGAATGGAGGTCTAGCAGAAGTCAAGGAAGCATCCAAAATACACAAGTTTCAACCATGCCACACAATAGCTTGATAATTAATTACCTCGTTATCCAAGTTCAGGCTATTTTGTTGTAACATTTTTCTTGTTTTAGATCCGTTTGTTTTTCTTGGTTTAAACTGATTTGATTTGTTGGGTTTTTTCGTCTGTTGTTTATATTTTGCGGGTTTTATGTCTCCTTTTTTTCTTTCAGTCCTGTTGCTTAAAGATGATGACGTGGACGCTTTGAGTCTAATGGGCAATATTACACGACAAATAAGTGAAAGAGAAATAAGACAAGTGAAGGAAATAATATGTATGCGACAGGGTATTGTAGACAAATTCCGGTAAGAATTTTGTCATTGTTACTTGAATGACTTCTTTGCATTAGTTTTTTTTGCATCGTTTCTTTTTTTTCTCCAAATGAAACCTCTTGCTTTAAATTAATTCTTTAAGAAGTTTAACGACAGATCTACGAGTAAGAAAAAATATGGTCATTTCAAAGATTCTTGAGGAATTTAATTCAAGAGAAAAGTGAATTTTAACCTCTTCAAGTGCGTTTATACATAGTTAATCGAGGGGACTCGATTAACTATGGTTTATAGACAAAGTTCTATGTGCCCTAGACTTCAAAGTACTGGTAAACAATGAAAGAACAACATCGTCTGATAATTCATAGCTGGTCTTTATTGCTGACTTAAACCCCACTAACCTTTTTGCTCAACTATTCTTCATACGAGAAGCTGGACGGTGTCAAAGCAGAGGCACTGAGAATAGGAATAAATGACGCCGTCGTTCAACAGCCATTCCAGCTTAAGGTATTTGTCGTGGGCTCGCGCTGCTAGGCGTGAGACCATTTATTTCTGCAACGATTACGATATTTTTTGGTGCTCATCTTGAGAGAGTTGCTCGGAAGTAAATAAGAAGAATTGTCGGAGTTTGAGTACTCAACTAGAGCAAGCTTTCAACGCTATCCACCTTTTTAGTGTATACTTAAGAACCTTTCACCACGAAAAGTGTGTGAACATAGGTTTTTCTCAATGTGCATCACCCCAAAAAAGGTCCAATGAAAATGAGCGACTGAGAGAAACAGATAATAAGTCATTTATTATGAATTTTTACCAGTAAAGCCCCGCGCACAGAATCTTTAAGCCTTGGTCAAACGGCGCATGATAGTCGATGATAGTTGATTAACTTCAAACTATCATCAACTATCACCAACTATCATTCGCATGGTCAAACGGCCAAAAAAGTTGGTGATAGTTGATGTTAGTTCACCAGCAGTCGCGCGAGCAAAGTCACGCGAGCAGCTAGTTCCAGGCTCTTTCCGCGTAAAATGTGAACACTAACATGGCTTCGCGTGAGACAAACAAACTTGTTGAAGTATGAATTTATCACGACGAAAGAGGGTGGCAGCTTGCTTACTAGTAATCGATTTGGTGGAGAAATGTACGGAAGATGAATCTGGAGAGCGTTGGTGGAAGAGAGGACGGACAAGGTAATGGATTAAAAGGAGAAACGAAAGGGAGTTGTTGAAATTGGGGGAAGAATTGCAAGTGGAGGACACTGCCGCTTACAAGGAAATGTTGCGAGTGAACTTTGAAACATTTCAGGAAATATTGACCGCTATCGGGCCTGAGATTAAACCGGGCGATATTGAACGAGCCCGCCGATTTTCGGGGAAAACAGCTGACCAAAAACTATCATGAACTATCATATGCGTGGTCATACGAGGAAAAATATCATCGACTATCACGAAGAATTTGAACAAGCTCAAAATAAATGATAGTTGGTGATAGTCGATGATACCGCATGATAGTTGGTGGTCAAACGGAAGCGCGCGCTTCAACTATATCGACTATCATTGACTGTCATCGACTACCATGCGCCGTTTGACCAGGGCTTTAATAACACCCCGTGGAAAACTGATGTATGTGGGGCCGGTTGTGTTGAACCAGTCAAGGAAAGGTGTTACCGCTTCACACCTGCACGGCACCAGGCATTTCCCGAGAAAGCGAAGGAACAGAAATGATGAAATGAGTCACGTTTTGCCATTAATTGAATGTTTCTTGTTCTAAGACGAGGACATACAGGAGAAAATCTTATTGTAAAATCTACTCTGTAGTTTTTACGTGCACGCCTCTCTTATGTGTATGACTTCGTTGTCCTATGATAGAATGCTCATTGACTGAGTTCGGTCAACCGGACGGGAAGATATTGGACTCCTGTTCACGATGCACAGACTTTGATGCGCTCGGCCCATATGCCCTAACCTCAAGAGTTAACTATTTTAACGCCCGACCCTCCCACTCAATCAGTAAGAGTGTATTCCATCATATTTTTTGCAGCGGCAGACTGCACAGATGGTGAAAGAATCTCCTTTGCATGTTGTTCAAATGGTAAGGACTTCAGATGTTCTCCTTAGATCATTGATATTGACATGGTAGTCGTTACTAATTACAAGACTACCTTTATTTCTACAGGTGCAAGAGAAGAAGGAAGAGTTAGATCCAGCACAAGTCGAAGGCGTGGCAGCCAAAGAGCAGGCTATCATGTCCTTTTTCGAATAGTTCCCCTTCAAGTTTCGATGCATTTTTTATTCGAAAAAAGGGTTGCTTTATAGGTCATTAAGTATTATTTACATGAAAGGAAAAAATCCAAGGAGAAAGAAGGGAAATAGAGAGAAGAAAAAGAAAAGAAAAGGAAGGCGAAGAAAAAGGCTAAGAAGAAAAGCGAAAGTTCCTTAATTGGCAAATCATTTCACTAGCGCGTTTTCAATATGTGAATGACATTTATACTTTTAAGTTATGTTAGTGTTAATACAACCAAAGGCATCAATTGAAAAGGGACATTCCTTGACTCATGGGTCACCTTATCTCTTTAATTCATTCATCTAATTATTTTTCATTTTATTTTGGTTAAGTTCTGATGACTGAATTTGGACTCCTTTATGCCCTTCGTATGTTTTGATCTAAGCTAAACTGTGGCTGAGCGATTTCGTCTCCACATTATCAGATCTACCACCGGTGAGCAACGATACAAATGGACCATCTTACGAA